AATTTATCTGTTTTGTGTATACTTGTTCTATTTTCCTATGTAATTGTGTGATTAAATTAGCTGTTGTGTATACTTATATGAATAAATAAAAAAATAAAAAAAAAAACTATTGTCAACAAAAAAACGAAAGTTAACAATTCATTGTCTTAGAGTAGTTTAATCAAGTATGTCAGAGAATACAAGATACGAAAATCTTTTTAATAATAAGTGAAACTTCTATAAACCAGAACGCACGTTACTCTGAGTAAAATTGAATATAAAGTTTATGTATTTAAATAGAATGCATTATAAGATAAGTTGGAAGTACTAAGGTGTAGAAACTTAGCACTTAAGTACTGAGTGCACTTCGTCAGTTGCGGTTATCGATTCGCATTACACATTCAGCGGACTTCAAACTAACTTCCTCTCACTGCCACCGCGACTGCCGGCTGCCGGCTGCTAGCTGCCGGCCGACAAGTCCCTGAGATAATGGACTCCTAACGCTGATAATGTTAGCAAATACTTATACTAAACTATGAAATTGTATTAACTACTATTCAACACTTTTTAAGTTAGTTTTTTATATGGTTCAGTCGCAGCGAAGACAAAAAACGCACCAACTAATGAGATGCCACAGTATACGTTGTTTTAATATCTAGTTTAGTTACTCGTTAAGCAACATTTAATGTAACTTAGTGCAAACTTTAGCTATTGAGATGGGGTATATTTGTGTGTTTGAAATGACTGGATTATTTCTTGCACATCCTACAATGTTGTAGCAGCAGTGCTGTGGAATTTATGAAATAGTTTTCATCCGCTGTGGGGCGCTGCGGGGCACTGTGGGGCGCTGCGGGGCGACGCGGGGCGCAGCGGGGCGCGCACACGACAATGTCAGACATTCTGAACATTCACTGCAGCTACCAAATACCTCGCTTTATTTTCAAATTTATTCTCCGTACACTACAAGACATTTATCCAATTACATTTTAGAAAAACCATAAACCCTTAAAAGGCAATTAACCAAATGTCACAAAATTGTTTACTTACAAATTCCTCGAAAGAAACAAAATAAATGTGCAAATCTCTATATGGAATGTAGTGTTTTATATATTGTTAAGTAAATTTTGTTGTTTAGAGTTTGTAAGTACATTTATGATAGAGGAACTTTACTTAGATCGGTCCTTGGCGTAGCAGAACGCTATTGGCTATTCAACGCCGACGCCGACGCCTCGGCAACGGAAATTAAGCGTCCGATGTCACCTAAGAGGGTAGTTTCCGACTATTAGAACTACACCTAAGTTACATTACAATGCACCTAGAAAAAATGTCATATTAACATGTTAAATTATTCTAATAAAATTGCAGAAATAGATGAAAACATACGCTACATGCATTTAATTGTGAAACGTGTGATAATTTTGAAAGATTTGCTTAAAAATTAATAACGTAAATCGAACATTTATTAAGAATCTGTGCAACTACAATTGCCTACAATGAAGATACCGAAGCAAATTACTTAACTTTAAAGATAGTTTAGCTAAGTGCTTTTCGCAAAAGATTTCCATCCGTTAGTTATAAGAAAGTGTTAAGATTTTGAAGCCGCTGGGAGCGATGAAAGTTGAGAGAGAGTTATGAATTCGCACCGCTTTAAACCTGAACTAAATTCATTAGTTTCATACTAGTTGGTTAACTTAATTAAAAGTTGGCATCTTGCGGATGGGATTCGACGGCGGAGGCCTTCGCTTCGCAATTTCGTTTCTTAATTGCCATTAAAGGCCTCGAGGTGTTGCTTTAATGTCACTAATGTTTTAGAACCGTAAAGTAAAAATAATAAAAGAGATTTACATTTGTTGTAGTGAATTTTTTATCAGTTCAAAATTTTTAACTTGAACAATTATCGAGTTTCTATATTTTTTGTAATGTTAACGAGCACCGTTTATTTCATAAAGTATAGAAAGTTTTTTACCGAACTTCGTTATTTACACAGTCACGTAGGTCAACTAACTATTCAACAAAAGTTTGTTGAAGTTAGTACCATTGCCAGGTCGCCGGAGCAAAGTTGACTCTGTATTGGGCGCACAATTCTCTGTCCCCTGCGGAAATTACCTCGACTGTGGACCGAGCATATAACTCATCTGCCGGGACTGTCGAATTAACCCACGTTTTGATGTTTATAGTGTATGTTGCATAATTCCAAAATTATGTACATTAGGAACAACTTCCTTATGTTTGTAATTTTGAGTAATAATGAAAGTCTGTCATTTACAAAACACATTACAAGCACGCATTCCATCGCGGACACGTATATCTGTGTGTACGTTTATTTTAATTCAGAGCAGGATAGGGGCCACCGAAAGTAAAACTCTCGGAATTCATGTTATTTTCATTGCTCTGTGTATTGTGCTATTGTGTGACGCTCAACATATCTCCTGCGCTGATCTCCAACAAAATGTACGAGCAAGGTACGAGTATGCGGGATCCTTTTGTGTAATGCAATTGCCAATTTACGAGTATACATGGCCTTTATGTCATTCGAATTCAGCTACATATGTACAAATAGATAACGTTTATAGTTTTCTATAGAAATAAATAAAACAAATGTGCGCTCAAAGATGAGACAGCTCAAGACGTAGTTAAATTTGTTTAATTCTCCGCAACGGATAAGTTTGTTTGGCTTTGTAATTATTTTCAGTGCAACACCGCAGACACAGGGTCCCGCACTTGGCGCGTCGCGATGCGAGAGGTACGCATCAAATTGCATTTTTCATAAAGCGCGTGTTATTACCCGGCCGTGGAGCGCGCGGGGTGTGTGGGGCGTGCGGGGCGTGTGGGGCGGAATGCTGAAACAATAGCGCGCCGCGACCGCTCTACCTGCGCACTGATTAATTTTTTCAGCCTACCCCCCACGTGAGTGCGCTTAAATTAAAATAATTCTGGTAAGCTTCTATTGTGTTTTGCAACTGTACTTTTTTTAGTTAAAGTTTTTCATTTTACGTAAACAGACAATAAGCGCGGTTGTGTTACTTGTGAGTAAGTTAAGCTACGTGTAAACAGCTACGTAGCAAAGTGTCTAGACTCTACCGAGCTAAGGTAAGTTACAAGCTTATTTAATATAAATACTATCAAAAACTTTTAACTCCACACGGTGATAGTATTCAACAAACAATAGTCCGGCGCGGTGCAGAGGTCCCCGTGCAGTGGGTCACTGAGCGTCGCGTCCTGAACGGAAATTAAACGCGGCCGCACCGCCCGCCCGCCGCGCCCTGCCTCCGCCCGAGCGACGCTACATTCATAAAGTTGCGAGGCTCTGTGGCGACTTCCGGCGCCGGGGCCACGAGAGCGGCCATTGATACGTGAACACCGCGCTCGCTTCAATTAATGCACAACACAACGAGAACTTGCTTCAGTAGCTCCGATTCAAGTTTACGTCCGTCTACACGAGTTACCTTAATAAATATAATGAATATTTAAACTATGTTGTTTTTCAAAATGAAGCCCTAGACTAGACATAACAAAATTAGGAAATGGGAATGAAGTATAAGAAAAGCAAAGTAAAAATGTCAGTTGTCGACGCATGGTACTGACAATGTAATTTGTATGAAGTATCGATATAACTCGAGGACGTTGCTCCGTCGACTGATTGTTTTATCACGTATCGCTTTGTCGCTGTCATTTACAACAAAATAGCTTCTGAACGACTTCTAGTTTGATAAAACATAAAATACTAGAAATGCTTGGGCTTAAATAAAGAATAATATGTTAATTTACCTTACACTGGGCATGCTCCGAGGAGCGCATATACAGATGAAGTAACTTAACAGCTTCGATGTCTATATCCCTTGATCCACCTTTCGACGACTTTCAACAGAAGCGCGAAATTAAAAAGCATAATATGTAATACATTATGACGATCCACAGTGTAATGGTACCGAAGATTACAATTTTAAATGAAATCTAAAATGTTTTAACTTTGATTCAAAATTCATGAGATAGTATTTTCAATAAAACTGGTAGATAAGCGATATTTTATAAAGCATTCCGCTAATATCTGCGAGTGTTGAGCCATAAAATGACGCCGTCGGGTAAATTTAATAAGTGCTCGTCTTTACGAGGAACGTTTAAACAGCGCCATTTTATGTCTGTGTGCAGACTGTAACCTGCCCCTTACAGTTTATAGCACTATATACAACGTTAGTACTTCGGAACGAAGGGTTGTTCAAGGTTAGGAAAAACCTTCCGTTACAGCCTTAATGAGTAAAATATAGAAGAGGTTTTTCAGATAAACCTAAGAACGGATTCTGTTCATATAACATATTATTCTGTTAACAACGGATAATTGGTTATTATGGCGAAACCTTACGGTGATAACTACACAATAAGTTGCAGTGCAGCTGTTAAAGCTAAAATTACTAGATTAGATTAGATTATCTTAAAGATTCACAGATTATTTTATAGTTCGTAAACTATGCACTATTATGGTTGTGAATAATACTGAAGAGAGGAAATATAAAATACTAGTTCAGTGCAATGACAATATATTTGAATTGTGCAGAGTATCGCGCGGCAAATTGCGTTAAAGAGCGGCATCGCCAAGAAGCGTCCATTACCATTTCAAAGGGTATTATTTTGCAGCGCTGTCGCCGCGCCGGTGCCGGCCTGGCTGCAGACAGCGGCTTCAGTCAGCGATGGAAATACACTCAACACTGCTCTCACGTATTTATTTAAAACTGTTAGTATATTATACAGCAATCTGGAATCATAATTGAGATATACACGAGTGAATGAACTACGTTAATAAACCACATAGGTTAAAATTTTAACCTATCGCATTTAGTAATTTTTTCTAAAGAATACGACAAGTTTTTATGAAATATCCATATTAATATAATATATCAAATTCCCCGCTTCATTGCGTGTAATCCTCCGAGCACAGGAAGGGAAGTTACGACGAGTTACCTAGATCGCAGTTTTATGGTGAAGAAAATAATGGAATAGAAGCATTTTATGATTTGCCGTCACTGAGACCCGTTAAAAATGTGAAATATGATTTTTATATATATTGCTTATAGCAAAATAATATTGCTGTCTCACGACAGAAATGCGATTAAAAAAAAAACTTGACAATAGCCTGTGACATGTGACGTATTATGCCTCTTGACTATAATTTTGTTTACGAAATTTAATTTAAATTGACTACAATCAGGTATAACATTGACTCTATATTACTGAAGGGTTCTACAAGTAGAGTGCTAGAAGAGGGAAGTGTAATGCAGTGATCATGGGAGGTAGGGAGGGTGTGCGAGGGTAAATTTAATAAATGCCTGCTTTTACGAGGTGTGTTTAAACACAGTGCAATTTTACGAGCGCACAGAACTTTGTCCTTCCGCTTTATTGCTCGTGTAGCTGGCAGGCATCGGGAGATAAATGTTACATCAAACACCTTGCGTTAATTTACCACGGTACAAAGTCTACTAAATGTTTGAAACGAAATGAAACGACTAAAATTAACTTAGAATTCCATTGTAATGAATATTCATTCACAATAATGTATGGAACATTGTTGTGTCAAATAGTGTAGAGCGTTTCCCTTGGAAACAGTTATTGTGAAAGTTTCACGTTTCATGAATAGTTGCCCAAAACTTAAAGTCCTCAAGGTTCGTTGCGTCGGAGTTAATCAAAATTAATTTGCACGCGACGAAACAGTTAGCGGAGTTGCGGCAACTAGTTGAAGGTCGCAACTGAAACATGTCGAACTTATTTTACTAGTACTTTTGTAACAAATAGTTTTAAAAAAATACTAAGCACTTTATGAAGTCATATTTAGTATGATTTTTACACGATGTTGAAGTTTTTGTTATAACACACGATTATTTAACACCTATTTAATATAGACAATAAGAAGTCCATTACAAAGTACTTAGAGTGCTTAATTTACAAATAAATAAACAAACCGCATAAGTCCTAGCAGATATGATATAAAGATAATGGTTATTAGAGAAATTACTTCTTTACACAGATTCACACGTATTTTCTTATCGGTACATGAGAATTGCAAAACGATGCAAACAACAGAAGTGAGTTCTGTAGAGCGAGAGCTGAGAGCGGTGCGATATTACCATTCCAAAGATTGTTGTACAGCAACTCCTCAACGCCCCCCCCCTGGTCCCCCCAACCCCCCAACCACTACACTTTATCATGTAAATACATGCTAAACAATGCTTCTCGATATGAGAAAAGCCCAAACGGACATCATCTCTTGTCAATTATAAAAATATTTCTATAATAAAATTTATAAAAAGACGGAAATATTAATTTATACTACACTACTTTATTCTATACTACACCCCATTATTTATACTATACTACACCCCACGACTTCAGATGCGAAGTTTCATAGATTACATAAATCTCGCTTTCAACAGTATTGTAGTCCGCAGCGCAGCGTGTACGAGCAATACACCTTTTGTTGTGAAGCTCAGGCGACGCTGGCGGTGGCGGCCGTCGTCGCCCGAAAAATTATTCTCCTTTTATTTCTCCGTAATAAAAGCTTACGCAGCATTCACGCCGACGGGATACTTTAAATACTCTGAATTATTGTCGTCCCGCGTCCTGCGCCATTGTGTAGCGCACCGGCTGCGATATTAGGCCGATACTACACATACTTACGCATGTTTGTGAATTCTTTCTCCTAATGAAAATGTTACGATCGCGGGATATCAAAATAATAATGCCAATTGTATGAAATTATAGTAGACCCTGTACCTCGCGACTCTCAGTTCAATGTTAAACGGACAGCGCGGAGGGAGTACGAGTTGAGTATTAATTAAGTTTCGTCTGAGGACATCTGGATTAGGGATAAAGGGGCGCGTTAAAGCGATTTAAATGTAAGCCCATTGTTTAAAACGTTTCCAGGGAATAGCGAAACAAAGGCATTTCCCGTCCGCTTACCGAATTATTCAAGATTTACTGTAAGACGAAGTAGCAATTATTATGAACTGCTTTATGATGTTTAAAACAATTTATCGTTGCAGTAAAATACATTGATATAATAATTGAGTATCGATTATGATATGCATAGTTAATCTATAATTATTAAGCCATGTGTTGTGTGCAGGATGTCCGGTGTGCGGGCAGCTGATGTTCCTGTTGGAGCCGCCGGCGCGCCTCGCCTTCTCCAACAGTACGGGTACGCGTGTGTCGTGCGCGGCACACGGCTCACCGCCGCCCACCATCACATGGCTCTCAGAGGATGGCGTACCCGTCACCGACGTACCAGGTCTCAGGTAAGCTAACTTATCCATATTTCATATTTGATTAGTACTTTATACGAATGCCTATATTTGCCAAAATTAAATAAACAAATAAATAAAGCGTAGTGGAAATCTGTCACACTTGTTTTTACATATTATTTTTACTGGGGCTGAATTATTACACATTCACAATTTTTGTGTTGACGTTGGACGTGGGTCTAATCCGCTCCTCCCGGCTGGATTACTGCGCGTCACGGCCAGTCACGGCCAGTCACGGCGCGTCACGTTGCGCGGGCCGTGCGCTCCGTGTACGGTGCTTGCTGAACACTCCGAGTTTTTCAGCGCAGCGTGATTCGACAGAAAATATGAAAGATGAACTCTTTACGTGTTCCTAATTTCTTTTAGTCAATGATACATACACATATAACTATGTGGAAATGTACAACATTATCGAATGAAATTTGTAAACGATCGCCTTGAAATTATAATTTAATTTTGAGGAACAATTGTAGGCGTCAAAACTAATATAATTAATAGACTAGTTAAACACGAGCTCAAAGCAAACTTGTGAACTTTATGGATTATGCGTCAGAATAATTAGGGGGTCGTTAATGCCCCGGATCAAGGCGAGCCGTCCTCGGCGGGGCAGCCGGCGGGGCAGCCGGGCCGCGCGGCACATGTCGGCCCACTTTGATATAAATGCTAATGACTATATTGAGGCGGGTCACACGGACGAAAACTCTTGCTCAGTAGGCTCATAAATACGTTGTGTGTTTAATTATATGTTAATGAATAGATTTATGTGGTGCTAGCGTTGACAATGAACATTATTAAAGAACACTGAATTACGTGCATTTATTATTTCTGACCATATTAAGCTAAGTATCGACGAGATTTTTTAATTAGTTCTACGTTCAATAATAAAAAAAATGTGGGATATATGGAACGTTCCAAATACTTTTGCGAAATAATAATATAAGATAATTTGTACTCTATTCAGCGCGAGTGGATCGTATTCGCGCGGCGGCTGACGTTCGTAATAGAAGTGTCGCGAACAGTTAATACGCTCTCGTCAACTGGAGATTCACTCTGGCGCTGCATTTTTACAGTTTCACGTTCAGTTTATGTGGCAGAAAAAAACTAAGATTTTTTACTTATTTATACAAAAGTAACATAATATTCAAGTTAAGATGCAACAGTGGCCTACATCCGCAGAATATAATTTAATTGTTCGCTTAGTTTATGAATTGAAAACGTATTCATAACACGTAGATACAACCTTGTACATAATACAAGCATCTAAAAGTAAATAAACGTGATAATGTAAGTAGGTTGTAGGTTCACCGACAAACCGATGATATATCAGCGAGTACCGCGCCGCCGCTGCGGTGTCGTGTCGGAGGGAACGTCATAATTCGGGATGACGGGCGTCCCGCGGGATAAATTATTGACAAGTTATGTACACGGGTCTGTGAGTTTCACAGCCGAATTCTCAGTCAAAAGATGCAGTATAATTCCTTTTTTGTAAGTTTATTTACATCGATTTAAAAGAAAATAGAAAAATATTTACTTTTGAAACGCTGTAATATTTTTTTTTGTTTTAGAGCTAGGAATAAATATCGTAAGATACTTTGTAATTTCAACAATTCATCGTTAGGGTTGTGGCACACCGAGCACGCTTTGGGCGCACGTCACGCGCCGCCACAGTTTGTCTTCGTTAATGTAATAACCACCTCATCCATACTGCGTGATCCTCGGAGATTAATAGACCAAAGCGCTATGCACCACAAACATTGTATATAATTTGTTAAGAAACTTTAAATGTTGCAAAGTAACGTGTTAAACTGTTACAATAAAAAGCGACAAATATTGTATTTCCTTTTTAACACCTAGTTGTATACAGATTTTAGTTTTGTCAACTTTATCAAAGGAATTATTTACATAAGGTGGTAAACACAGCAAGCGGTCTACGTGACATTCAGTAAAACTTGTGTATGGTAGCGAGAGCCACGAGGTTCAAAGTAGGAAAGTGAACGATAAATGTAGTAAAACGTGTCCGGCGAGCTGCACAGATGGCGCTTTACGACGGAAACAATCTGAAAACGAAATGTTCTAACTGAACCCCATCGACTGACGCCCATTCCATGTTCTATTCTGTCATATAACACATTATATACTTGGTTCAGTGATTAAACACGAATATATGGTAGGATCTGATTTATTATTATATTATTTTTATATGTTTTTATCTACTTCTATTTTTCGTTCAAAATAAACCTTTCAGTTTTCGAAGTAGTGTACAGTGTGTTAGGGTCACATTATCCCTCGTCTCATTAATACGTCACGGTCCGTGAGACCTCACCGCACTCCCTCCGCTGCCGACATCACTGGATTAACACCAGCCACGACCCTTTAAGGTTACTCGCACGCAGTTCGCAAGTTATGGCAATTATTTGTTGCTGGTTACCTAAGCGTTTTCACTTAGTCGAATTAATTTAAAATTTTAAGAATATCATTGTTTAAAATAGTAAAATATTTTATTCAAAATATATAAAGTTAATTTGAAATTTTATGAAATATTAAAGGACAATTATTTTACAATTTTCAAACAGTTTCAATAATTAAGACGGATAAAGTTAGCGGGTCGACAGACTTGTGCAAAGACAAACATCATCGGGCCGGCTTAAGCTCGCATTTATTATTTGTTCAAATCCTTGGCCGTGCATATTTAATGTCTGGATTTCCAGCAAAGTAATAAGCGGTGTAAATTCATATCATATTTTAAAGCTCTGACACAAAATAAATTGACTTTAAATCATGTGTAATATCTAAGATTTTGTGTCAAAGAAATGAAAGTTTACTTTTTTCACACAGTTCTAGACGAAGTAAGAAAGTTTAACAAACTATCGTAAATTATATTTAGTTTTCTCGTGGAGTAATTAGATGTGCTGTAAGAGGACACGCAGCGATGTCGTTTGTCTTCGTTGCGGCGGGGAACGGACCGTAGCGGGGTCGAGCGGTGTGAAGCGGTGCGAAGCGGAGGGGATATTTTTGCCGATGATGAAGAAAAAAACATCATTCTTACATTGTTCTGTAAGGTTTTGCTTGTTCGTGACAAAGAAGGCAGTACAACAATAACAACTTTTAGTACTCTGTAAGATTCATCATTGGTGCATTTCAATTATTTGACGAACGATGACGTCATACAATGTTTCGTGTTCTCTTTATTAATATTTTCACGATGTAAAGAATGACAATGTGTTGATATTTGACATTCTGCCAGTAACGAAGGTTGCCATCGTTAATCTAGTCGTGGGTAAGATAAATGCGCAGTTTGCGGGGAGTTTTCTTTACATTCACTATTCCCGAGTCCCGCTGCGTGTTTGATTAATTATTGCCTCAATATTACGTCTGCGTGTCCACTTCGTAATTTAATTCTATTAATACTTTTTATTAGTAACTCTATGAACAAGATTAGACAGTACAATTTACTTTCTTTTATATTTAATCAGAATAGACGAAGATATTAAATGAGTTCAATAATATTAAGCGAACAAGCAGAGGTCAATTGTTAATAATGCATTTCGAATAATGTTTTAATATCCGTTTATTGATGATGCTCATAAATTTAAATTGATACTGGAATGAAATTGTCGAATCTCTCTTTAGTCAACCAAATTATGATAGAGCCTTTTCAGCGGTTGTTGTATCAAATTGACATAACACATTGATTGCGACAGCACACCGGCAGCTAATGTTGTCTAAATCAATACAAAGCATTGATGTATGTGTCCGGAAGTATACAAATACCAACATGCAATAATTTCAAATTAAGCGTTGATTAAATAAATACAATTTATGTTGGTAAATAATGAAATAATAACAGCGGCGGTCGTCATAAGCGCAGCTGGAACCACTCCCGTACTAATACTTGAGGAGCGCCTGTCTGTTAGCCTCAACATTATAATGCTGTGAGAGTGAGCACCCTGCGCGGAGG